AGTGAAGCTAAAGAACCACAGCGACTGTCCTTGAACAAGGGACGGTTCTAAAGTCCAACTGTGAGTGCGCCTGGTAACTACTTTTATAATGGAGTAACTCAGTTACTTTATGGGAGAAGTAACTAGTAACTATAACTCATTGCTTTTTCAAAGTAATGTGCCCAACACGGCTGAAACACAGAATTAGTCAATATCCAGGAAACTTCATGCAGCCTGAGCGAAACTCTGAAACAAAAACTCCTTTTTCTTCCAGTTTCTTAGTAAATCATCTTTTGGTGCTAAAACTTAATGCACAGTTTTAATCAAGGTTTTATGAATCTGTTTTTTACCACAGTTTTATGGACCATGTGTAGTTGTGTACCCACATCGGGTACTCTGACAGTACATGTATGTAGATTAATGCACTCACACTGCAGTATCTTTGACAGTATATGTATATATATATATATTAGTGTACTCAGGTCGGGGTACTCTTTGACAGTACGTGTATATACATTATTCTACTCACGTCGGGGTACTCTTTGACAGTACGTGTATATACATTATTCTACTCACATCGGGGTACTCTTTGACAGTACGTGTATATATATTAGTGTACTCACGTCGGGGTACTCTTTGTCTGTATAAACATATTATTCTACTCACGTCGGGGTACTCTTTGACAGTACATGTATATATATTAGTGTACTCACGTCGGGGTACTCTTTGACGGTACGTGTGTATATATATATTAGTGTACTCACGTCGGGGTACTCTTTGACAGTACGTGTATATATATTAGTGTACTCACGTCGGGGTACTCTTTGACAGTACATGTATATACATTAGTGTACTCACGTCGGGGTACTCTTTGACAGTACATGTTTGTATATTAGTGTACTCACATCGGGGTACTCTTTGACAGTACATGTATATATATTAGTGTACTCAGGTCGGGGTACTCTTTGACAGTACATGTATATATATATATTAGTGTACTCACGTCGGGGTACTCTTTGACAGTACATGTATATATATTAGTGTACTCACGTCGGGGTACTCTTTGACAGTATATGTTTGTATATTAGTGTACTCACGTCGGGGTACTCTTTGACAGTACGTGTATATATATTAGTGTACTCACGTCGGGGTACTCTTTGACAGTACATGTATATATATTAGTGTACTCACGTCGGGGTACTCTTTGACAGTAGGTGTATATACATTAGTGTACTCACGTCGGGGTACTCTTTGACAGTACATGTATATATATTAGTGTACTCACGTCGGGGTACTCTTTGACAGTACATGTATATATATTAGTGTACTCACGTCGGGGTACTCTTTGACAGTACGTGTATATATATTAGTGTACTCACGTCGGGGTACTCTTTGACAGTACATGTATATATATTACTGTACTCACGTCGGGGTACTCTTTGACAGTAGGTGTATATATACATTAGTGTACTCACGTCGGGGTACTCTTTGACAGTACGTGTATATATATTAGTGTACTCACGTCGGGGTACTCTTTGACGGTACGTGTGTATATATATATTAGTGTACTCACGTCGTACTCTTTGACAGTACATGTATATAGTGTACTCACGTCGGGGTACTCTTTGACAGTACATGTATATATATTAGTGTACTCACGTCGGGGTACTCTTTGACAGTACATGTATATACATTAGTGTACTCACGTCGGGGTACTCTTTGACAGTACATGTTTGTATATTAGTGTACTCACATCGGGGTACTCTTTGACAGTACATGTATATATATTAGTGTACTCAGGTCGGGGTACTCTTTGACAGTACATGTATATATATATATTAGTGTACTCACGTCGGGGTACTCTTTGACAGTACATGTATATATATTCGTGTACTCACGTCGGGGTACTCTTTGACAGTATAATTAGTGTACTCACGTCGGGGTACTCTTTGACAGTACGTGTATATATATTAGTGTACTCACGTCGGGGTACTCTTTGACAGTATATGTTTGTATATTATTCTACTCACGTCGGGGTACTCTTTGACAGTACATGTATATATATTATTGTACTCACGTCGGGGTACTCTTTGACAGTAGGTGTATATATATAATTAGTGTACTCACGTCGGGGTACTCTTTGACAGTACAGTGTACGTATATATATATTAGTGTACTCACGTCGGGTACTCTTTGACAGTATATGTTTATATTATTCTACTCACGTCGGGGTACTCTTTGACAGTACATGTATATATATATATATATACATTAGTGTACTCACGTCGGGGTACTCTTTGACAGTAGGTGTATATATATTAGTGTACTCACGTCGGGGTACTCTTTGACAGTAGGTGTATATACATTAGTGTACTCACGTCGGGGTACTCTTTGACAGGCACAAACAGCTTCTCCTGCAGGTGGACGATGGGGCCGGTGGGGTCGGGCAGCTCCAGCGGGTGTCTCTCCACCAGGCCGTTCACAGAGTCACTGTACATGTCCTTACGCACTCTGTTGATCTCTGCAACACACAAAAACACACAACAACACGTCAGATATTTCACACACACAAGAGGAACGGAAGGAGGGAGGCGGAGTGTAGAACAGGTACCCGCAGGGAGTAGCTGGATTGATGCATCGACTGAACGCCAGAGTTCATTTCATATTTTCCCGTTTAATTGAAAACGATGGAACAGGCCGCAAATAATTATGATTTACACGTTCGCGGAGACACACGAGCTCGTCTGTACGGAACCACGTGTCCGGAGAAAACGTGAAACTGTTCGGCGGTCGCGATAATAAATTTGAAATTCGATGTATTGCTGAAGAAAACATAGACGATACAACTAATTTAAGCCACAAGAGTAGATTTAAACCACAAAAATGATTCTAAAATGACAACAGTGTTAAAAAAAAATCATGATCTGCAAAAAATGAACACAAAAATTAAACACTTAAGCACTTCGTTTGCATCTGTAATGTTATTAATTTGACCTTCTATAGCTTAAATCTTATCATATAGTTTTTTTAAACTTCATCCTACTCCTTTTACGCACCAGGTCCTAAATATTTTCATGTATATATCTCTGTTTTTGTTATTGTGTTTTGAAATTTTGATGTACCCGGATCAAGCTAATAAATAAATTAAATGAAAAAAATTTAATATAGCTGAAAAATAACCAAAAGTACTGCAAAAAAAATGTACTCATGATAAATACTGACCTCAAAAATATGTTGTTTCTACTATTATATATAGAAAAATAAGTCAAAATAGTGAATACAGTTGAATTGAAATACAAAAAATTGTCAAATTTTTGGAAAATGACTTAAAAAAATTCACTAAAATCACACTAACAGCATCTATATTTGAACTAACTTTCATATATTTATTGTCCAATTGCATTTTGAATTATTACTAATTAATTTACCAAACCTAATTTCCTTTAATTATGTGATTACATAACGTGATTTACATTTAAAATGAAAATTATTACTTTAATATAGCAGCAAATATAGTTAGTTAAATGATACAAAGAAAATTGTAAAAGAAATGCAGATTTATTTATTTTTTTTTTTTTTTTTGTTAAATGCTTAAACTGTGAACAGATGTATGACTGAGATAAAAAAAAAAAATACACAAAAATGGCTTTAAATATTATAAATACAAGGATAAATATTGCAATGTATTAAATTAAATCATGAATATAAATATAAATGTGCAAAAACATGCCTGTATTTATTTATTAATTTCTACATTTATTTATTTTTTAATGGTGCACTATGTAACTATTTAGAAGTGTGATGGATTGCTCAAGAAAATACAAATAAGTTTTAAGAAATGACACCTAAATAAGCCTTAAAACCCCCCAAAAAACACTGCAAATATTGTTAAAAGGTACAATAAACAAACAGCAGAATGAACCACAGAGGCATCGGTTTTAGTCTATAATCAAACATAGAAGTAATTTATCTAATCTGTGTTAATTGTAGAACAGAAAAATCACCAAAAGTCCCACACACCTACGAAGAAAAAGTCCCCAACATAAACACTGACCTCCAGAAATGACTGTTCCACACTTCAGCCTGTTCCTTTTAAGATGTATAATATATAAACTATACATGTGTACAATGTCAAATCCACACAAAAAAAATTTTATAAAAAAAATAATAATAAATAAAATAATAATAATAATAATAATAATAATAATAAATAAAAAATGTAATAAAACTAAAACTAAAAACAAATATAAAAATAAAAATAAATTTAATTAATTTTACACTACCGGTCAAAAGTTTTGGAACACCACACTTTTTCCCTTTTTTTTTTTTTTTTTTTTTTTTTTTTTTAATTAAAGCAGAGAATAAATAAGCAATTTGAGCTAAAAAATAAATCATGGAATTAATTTATAGACTTGGCACATGCAAAAATATCAAAATATCGATAAATTGAATCGTTTAATGTGATGATACAGGATCGATATCGTGGGCTGAGGATTTTTTTGGTGTATTTTACTAAATTATTTTCTTACAGTTACAGTTTTGTCGCTTGTTTAGAGGAAAACAGTTGATATTTTTGCTGTTTTGGTGATTAAAATGTTTGGGTTTCATATGAACTTTGGACAAGAAGTGGTTTAACAAAGACTTTTATTTTTATTGAACCGTATCGAATCGATTTGAAATATATTGTATTGAAAGTGCACTGTATCAAGATATGTATCGTACTGTGGAATAATCTTTTATTTGTTTTACTTATTTACTGCTATTTTGTGATTTTTTTTATGGTTTTGCTTTTATTGTTTATTGTTTTAGGACTTGGTACGACTAAATTTTTAGCAATTTACCTTTTCGTCGTCTTCATTCATGGTTCATTGTGCAGCACTTTGGAAACTGCTGTATAAATAAATTGGATTTGGAGTTTTTATTGTCCCTAAAATGATCGTTCGAACTCGAAACAAAGGAGAAAGTAAAAAGAGGAGAAGCTCGCACTAAGACGGAGCATGTGTGCGCAGGGAGGAGACAGAAAAAGCATGACTGGGGCCAGCAGATGTCCGACCACACCTACCACCGTGATTTATGGAGAACTCCAGTCTCGAGTCGTGTTTGGACAAATGTATCCAAGTGAAGAGGGGAGGGCGGGGGTGCAGAGGAGCGCCCACATGTGGTCGGCAGCTGGACCGCACCTGTGGGACTCGTCTGACCCCGGAGAGGACGAGAGACGAGCCGCTGTTACACGAGCGAGGATCAGAAGCCGTCACGGAGAACTTGAACTACCCACCGTCACAGGCTGTGTTTATTTGATGACGGTTTGAACAGAAGACCAAAAGTGGCGTCGCGTCTTCACATTTTATTCCGCGTTTAGGCGAGCGTCCTCGTGTAAACGGGCCCCGCAGTTTCATCGACAGTCGGCTCCGTTCACGATTGCGTCGCAAAACGGGAAGACGTTTAGAAAGCGACTTCCTTTGGGCTCTGTTGGCGATAATAACTCTGACAAAATCTGGGAAAATGGCCTCCAGGTTTCTTCTTCTAGATGTCATTCTATTCTTTATTTTTTCCTTTTATAAATTGCCAATTAATTTGTGTATTATAATCGGTCTAATTAAAAAAAAAACTAAAAAATAAATGTCAAAAGTGTTCTCTTATGTTTGGCAGTAGGGTTGGGTATCGTTCAGAAGTTGCCGATACGATACAAAGGCCATGATACATGTCTCGATACAGCGCAATTTTGATTCGATACGATATATTTCATATTTCCCTGCCCAGTGTCGGGAACTACACCGGAACTTGTCATCCGCGTGTTTCCAAACGTCTTATGTGAATAGAGCCTATATAATGTACACAATATACTGAATCACATGTTCCTTTGCTTAAATGCAGGTTTTATAGTAGCAACAGCTTCGGGAACATATAACTACATTTCCCATGATTCATTTCAGCGCAGACAACATGAAGAAATATGTTTTTACTTGAAATCTTGGGATTATGAGGGAAATATTTCACAACAAAATCTTGTCAAGGCATTTTAAAAGCAAAACAAAGTGTCCCGTCTACAATTATATCAGCTTCTTCAAAATATCGCAATAAATATCGTACCGTGAGATGAATATCGTGAAAATATCGTTACATCCCTAAACAACAAGAAACTGTAAACCAAATAAAAATATGCAGTAGGGGTGCGCAAAACTATTGAAATATCTGCATATCGTATCGTTTAGTGTGATGATACAGTATCGATATCGTGGGCTGCTGTATCGATATATCGCCAAGAATATTTTTTGGTTTATTTTACTAAATTATTTGGTTACAGCTGCAGTTTTGTTGTTTGTTTAGAGGAAGAAAACTCGTTTATGCGACACATTTGACATTTTATATGAACTTTATTTTTTATCGAACGATATCGTACCGAATCGTTTTGAAATATATCGTACAGAATCGTAGCGAATCGTAAGCTCACTGTATCGAGATATGTATCGTATCGGTAACTTCTGAATGATACTCAGCACAAATATGTAGTATGTTTTAGTATTTTTTTATTGATTTATTAATTATTGTTACTATGTTTTTTGTTTTTTGGGGTTTTTTGGTCAGCATAGAAGTGGACAAGCAGTTACGGTGGCGACTCAAACCTGTTGCAAACGCCAAAACCTAAAGAAGCTTAATCGATTTGTCAGTAAATAAAGATGTGAATAATAACAAAAATAATAACAAAAATGCAAAATAAAACCACCAGGATTATGCAAAACTAACATTGGTAACACTTTATCATAACTACACCTTATTTAGCCTTAATAAAGCATGAACAAAGACTTAATTAATAATGATTCACGCTTAGTAACTAATTAATTACTACCTTAATTAGCACTTAACTTGCACTTAATTCGCCTGTGCTGTAAATAGTTACTCATAAGTATTTCTTACTTAGTTACTCATGAACTAACCATGTGCATTTGTAAATGTTTATTTAAGTTCAAATTTGAGCATTTATTAATGATTAATAAGCCATGAGAGAAGGATTTACTAATAATGCATTATTGTTTCTCTGGAATTTGATCAACCTTAACAAATGCTTCATAAACTTAATTCGTCTTCACTTTAGAAAAGCTCTCAGAAAGATTTAACTAACAGATAACAGATAATATTCGGACACAAGGAAAATTCTGCGTAACATTTATTTTGCCTGTTATTATAGAATAGAAATAGTTACTTTTTGTGTGATATTTATGTTTTTGTTTTTTTATTATTTAGTTATTTTTTTATTTATGTTCTATGTATTACTGTCCGAATAAATAAATAAATCACAGCTGCCTGAATGATCATTGTATTACATTATTAGTAAATCATTCTCTCATGGCTTACTAATCATTAATAAATGCTCAAATGTACTTAAATATACATTTGTAAACACGCAAATAGTTAGTTCATGAGTAATTAAGAAGTATTGAGTTACTATTTACAGCACAGGCGAATTAAGTGCAAGTTAAGTGCTAATTCACGTAGTAATTAATTAGTTACTAAGCGTGAATC